GTGTGTGTGTGTGTGTGTGTGTGTGTGTGTGTGTGTGTGTGTGTGTGTGTGTGAACTGTTTAAACAGGCCAGAGGACAGAGTGAGTTAGAACTGATTTGTTTTTTGCCTGATTTCTACCTTTAGCTTCATTCTGTCTGAATGATCCCGTCAGCTGCCCGTCTGAGTCCCCCCTTTCCTCCCAGACACTCCCTCTGTGGCTGCAGCAGTTTGCCTCCTACAGGCTGGTTGAGTCATGCTGACCACTGGTTAGGAATCCATCTTCAGCTTGGAGGTCTGTTTCAGTCTGGTTCCAGTCTCATGAAGCAACGTGTTACTGAAGGTTTATGTTTGAAGTCGTGGACGTCACTGTGGGTTTTTCTTGTTTAAAATGACACAAGATGCAAGCAAGAGAGTGGGAAAACTCCTTTTTATTGTGGTTTTATTAATACAACAAAATAATAAAAAATAATAGTTTGGTCTTTAAAAGACCACCAGAAAAAGAATGGAGGGTATTTACTGTTTTTATCGTTTGAGATTTGTATTGTTTAAAAGTCTTTTATACAGCTAGAGGATATACTTTATTTAACTTTTGCAAATCACTCTGGAATCTTAAAAAATACTGAAGCAAAATATCACAAATCAAATGCAGAGATCTTGTTTGTCAACTGGAAACTAATCTGTAATCTCYACTACTAAAACTACTTCAAACTGTGCAAAAACCATTTRATTTATTTATTWTTTACAAAACAAACCATTGCTAATAGAGTTTACGTGTAGCCTGTCAAACACTGCAGAGAACACACAAAAGAGTATAAATGTCAAGAAAACTCAAAACAGAAAATCTTTGGCTTTGTTTTTCAAAAAGGAAATAGTTGCAAGTTAAAGTCCTAATGTATTTATGCTTGATAAATACAAAGTTTTTTTATACAAAATGAGTGCAAAAAGACATCATCATCACCATAATCATCATCATCACACAAGCAATATAAATGTTAACACACAGAAAAATGAGAAGTTAAAGAATTTTACTCTGTGAGAAGATCAGGTCTGAGGTTCAGTTTAAAAATTTATATGAGTTATAATCTTTACCCTGTGAAGTAATATTCATCTTTATTTGTGCAGAGTACTTACCAGGTCCGTATCTAGTACATAACTGGTATGTATGTATTGTTATGGATAGAAGCATTCATCCTGGAAGAGACCACTCCCAACAGAACATAAATAAATGTTACATCAAAGGATAAAGAAGTGTCCTTAATAAGTTCCTGGTAAGTAACTAATAAATACCCAATATTTACAAAGTTTGTATCTGGTACAAACTAGGTAACCCTAACCCAGGTATAAACCAGGTACAGGTACCTAACCCTAACCACATCTGGTAATACTCAGTACTTGGCGCATACCCATTCATTACTATGTCATTAAGAAGAAGAACCCCAGTAATAAGTAGTATCTGGTAAGTACCAGGTATGTACTAGGCTGCTACCCATCATCCATGAGACTGAGGGTCACTAACTGGTCTGATAAATGTGATTTGATCTAAAAACAACAAAATAGGTTTGGATGTGTTTTGGGTGATCCATTCCTTCAGTGGAGTTTGAAAGACTTCAGTAAAAATATGAAACCCTAAAGATGTCTACAACCTTTCCTTTAACTTGTCATCTACCTGTAACTGACACACTAAGGCACAGACATTCAAAATAAGAGGCAACGAATCCTTTCCTCTACACTTTTTGCCACTTCTTGGTGGAGGGAGAGCCGATCTGCAGCCCAGAGAAGAAGACCTGATAACGATGCTTCCACATGATGAAGGCGCCCATGGCACAGACCAACGCTTGAGCCAGGTTGAGGATGATCTGGATCAGGAAGTAGAAAGGAAGGGTCCCCGTAATCCACCCGCAGTCGCTGACCTCCTTGTAGACGAAGGTGCGAGCGATGGGGTCGACCTGATCCAGTACGCACACGCAGTCCCCTCCTTCCTGCTCACAGGTGAGGCTGCTGGTCTGCGAGTGATGGTGTCCCGCAAACGCCACGACCAGCACCGATATGACCAGGCCGGTGGTGCACAGGATGAAATACAGGAGCTGGAGGGGGCAGAGAAGCACTGTGAGACCATGAACTTCAACTCTGAAAGCTCTGATGAGGAAAAACATCTAGTTTTTTTCCCATTCAGCAGGCCTTTTTTTTATAATCTGCCTTGATTCTGTTGTCTCATGATTACCCCAGGGGTGCCAAAACTACGGCTTAGAAACAGACATTCTGGCTCAGTGCCTGTTGCAAATTCAGTTCAAAGAGATTACCCACAATTCTGCAGGGCAAGGTCTGACCCTCAGAGTAGGAACCCGGCTTTTAAGCACAAAGAAGTCACAATGCAGGTTACACTGAGCCGCCAACCACCTTTAATGCACATCCTGTGTCTAAAAATACATGTGTAAAATGCAACAGTGGCTTTGTGTTGTTTATGCAATGGCTCTATCTCCAACACGCTAAAGCTTCATCCTAATCCACCGGTTATATAACGAGAGGACTCATTCACCGGTGCGTTTTAGCTTTAGTTATATGCTGCTGTTGGAATTACGCAAGCGATGAGTAGCGCTTAATTTGCAGAAGTATTCATGTTCATAATCCAACAGTATGCGGTCTGAGGCACAGCTACAAGGAGATGAATGTAAAACTGATGCATCAACAACAACAACAAAACTTTCATTATTTAAGACGTTTAAATTAGTAGAAACAAAATCATTTTGATTTTATTGTTTGTCGTGTGATGTCCTGAGACATAGACGTCTTTTGACCCTGACTCAAACCTGAGAGCTGACTGTAGAGGCAGGAGTAAAACAGTCTGAACAAGTTTCGTCAATTAACTGAAGCATTGTTGTGTGGAGGGCCAAAGAAAGCTGTCCTGGTGTACATACAATTACCAGTTTTCATACAAGTGCTTAAGTCGTGATACAACTAAGACTACTTTTTAATGCACACTGAGGGTGTTAACATGGAAATGCCCCTGCTCAGGTAAAGTCCACCCTGCAGCCATGAAGGTGACAAGAAGGAGTAGATTTCTCCATCCTTCATTCAGGGAATGAGCTCTAACTGCCTGTCAAAAGATACAGTCTCCTAATGTGGACTAAATGTTTAAATGTCCCGACTTTAATCATGATTTTAAATAATGTCCACTAATAAATGTGCCATATACGTAGTGAGGCTCATGCTAAACTTAGAAAAAGTCTTTACACATGTTCAGTATAGCTTATTGGTGAATTACTATGAGGTTGGATTCTATAAGACAAGAAATTAAATTTTTCATATTTTATTCTCAATTATATTGCATTTCTTGTTTTGCACAACATTGTATAATTATGTTTTGACCATATTTTAATGTAATACAGTGTAGTGCTGTACTATATCATAATGTATCAGATTGTATTGTACTTTACAGTACGTAATGTTTTATTGCATTGTATCATAGTGTTTTGTACTGTATTCTGCAATGCTTTGTATCGTAATCTATTAAATCAAACTGCAGTGTTCTGTAATGCATTATACCATATTTTACTGTATTGTCAAAATGTGAAAAATTGTATTGTATCGTATTATACTGTATCGTATCATAATGTATACGTAAATAGACAAAAAGCACGTGCATACCAGTCTCAGTGAAACCGACTAAACCCAGTTTTTTATTCTATTCATTTCCAATCTTTAAATTTTGCTCATAAAATAATAAGTGAAGATAATCTTTTTTAATGCAGTGATGAAGATCACATTTGTAAATTAGCTGCGCTTTTAGCTGAAGTGCTTCGAAGTAATTTGACATCCTCCAGAATTCAAATATTTGAATGTGGTGTGTACAGAGGAGTCAGACGAAGAGTAAAATAACAGTGAGGATAGTGGACCTGTTTTAATTGTCCTGAAACTCCAGTTGCGCTCATTGTGGGATTAATTAAGCTGTAGAATCAAGCTGCATTAATGAACGTGCTCCTTTGCTGCTCAGGAATCCCTGCAGCGCTCCTTCATACGGGAATGCAGTTATTCTCTTTTTGCAGCTCTGTGTCCGAGGATCAAACTGTGTTCTCTGCACAGGTCATCTGTTTCAGATACAGGTTGTCTGAAAACTCACCTTTACAATAAACTGCAGAGATGAACGCTCATCTGGCTGGTAGTTGATACAGTAGAGGATGAAACCCAGGATGGAAACTAAACAAAGCTGTAAGAAACAGGAAATATGTTTGAAATGAATCCAAATAACAAATAAAATAKTTTTTAATGCATTCTCATGCATTTTAGTCCTCATTTAAGCTTTGTCTCACTGTAAACTTTTGCTATTGTGTTGGACTCAGCATAAAAACAAGAATCCTGTTCCAGACATTTCCTAATATTATATGATTCAGCAGTGAGTAAGCTGCTATCTGATTATATTACTTTGTTATTCTCTCTCCTCTCTCACACACACAGACTCACACTCTATCTCCTCAGTGCAATCGGAGTCTTGTGACTAACGTGCGGCATCTTATTTGACTGTTTTTCCCAGGTTCTTAAGCACTCAGGATTCTCTGGAAAGTTCTCGATGACCTCAATGTTTTTCACTCGGCTGGATCTCGTGAGGATCTAACTCGGGTTGTTGGTGTCCAGGAATGTTTTCGAGAGCCGGTGGCATCTYTGATAGGCTGGAATCAGGCCCAAAGTGGAACATGTTGTTTTGACCTGGTTGAGGTCGTATCCCAAAACTGGAATGATAAAGAAAACTGACCTTTGTTTTGAATGACTGCCATTAGAAATTTGACTGAAACAGGTAATCCCTGTTTACTTTTAACAAAATGATTGCAAACATTATTCTGGAAACAGTTTTTACATTCAAGCTGACAATTCAGGTTCTTTTTATTTTGAGATTTTTAACATTCTTCAGCAGTCTGCAACTCTTTAAAGTTCATTGTTTACAGTCTGACTGACTTTAAGACTCAACTTGAAGTTTTTYGTGCAAAGCTTATATGCTTTAAAGGAGACATATGCTTTTAAATCCTTCTTTCTCCYCATTTAAATCGTTCAGTTTGGAGCTATATAAACCGGAACTGGAGCAATGCTTTTGTCTGAATTCCTCCTTATTGTAACCCTGCAAGTCCCTCTTTCAACCCTTTTATGAATTGTGTCTCAAAGCCATCCATTTTGAAGCTGTATCTTTAAATCCCAACAAGGCACTTCAGACCCCGCCCCCCTCCAGCTTCCTGACCAGTTCATTCCAGTTTGATAGAGGGGGGTTAAGGCTATCTAGTGGTGCAGAAACGTTTTATTTACAAATTAATTAAAAGATGAGAATAACAGAAGAGTTGTCCATCCAAAGAAGGCAACTCAAAATCCCATTAATTTCGTGGTATATACAAGTAAATCAGAAGCAAAGAGTATCCTTAAACAAAAAATCAAGCAAGAATGGCAAAAAAGGTGGGATGAAGAAATAAAGGGAAGATGGTTTCATAGAGTCAAAAAGACGGTATAAGAAATGAAAAGGGGGAGAAGAAGCAGGAAAGAGGAAAGATTAATAACAAGATTAAGATTTGGACACACAAGACTTAACCATTCTGTTTTTAAAACAAACAAAAAAATACGGGGAAATGTGACCACTGTGGAAAGGATGAAACAATAGAACATGTGGTATTTGAATGTCATAAATATAAAGAGAGAAAATATATGAGGAAAGAGTTTGAAAGGAATAAAGAAAAAATAAACATAATAGACACTCTACAAAAGCATTTAGGGAGCAAATCAATACAAATRATAATAAGACTTTTTTTTAAAACAAAATTGATTAATAAAGTTTGAATATATAGTTTACACACAAACAACAATTTAGAAATACTCAACATCTGAACCAGACTCCATACCAGTCGGTGGCGGTAATGCACACCAAACGTTTTTTTTTTTTTTTTTGCCAACTGACAAAATAAAAATCCAGAAGAAGAAGAAGAAGAAGAAGAAGAGTTGTCTTTCCAGCTTTACATGTTGGACAGTCTGACTCAGAGCCAGAAGAGAATGAAGACAACAAAGTTGTAATTGGTAAGTCCAGACCTTATTTGGCAGCTCCTTCGTAAATATTGTGATGTAATAGTTCAGAAAACGTCATAGAAAACAGAGAAAACTGAACGGGTTGAAAAGAATGACCTAAACAGAATATAAAGATATCTACAAAGCACTGGGAGAGAATAAATTCAACTTTTTTGGACTCCTAGAGACACAATAAAATGTAATTAATGGCTAAAATATGTCCCTTATAACTCTGACTCGAGCATTTCTCAGTACTTTTTAAAATTTGACCTTAAGATTATAAGTTAAGATAGGTTGACCAGGTTAGTCAGTTGAGAACAAATTCTCAGTTTCAATGAGTAGCTACTTGCAAAAAAAAATAAATATATTGGACTTTATATGAAGGCAAATGTAAGGTATGCTTATTAAATAAGAGAAGTGTTTCTGAGCTGGTTGAAGTTGCCGTGCTGGGATTGGATGTCTTGGCTCGCCTGCCAGGTAGCAGAGGACTTCCTGAACTCACAACACAAACACCAGAACGTGCAGGCAGAGTCATGCACCTCAGAGGGGAGCAGAGTTTTAAAGTGTTCACATTCAGGAGGTATTTTTTTTTATTTGAAGGTGAGAATGGGTGTGATCACGCAGAGCGACGGAGCTGAGGGTCATGCAGGCGGTGTGTGGTGTTTCTGAGAGTCATGCTCCATGCAAGGCAAGTGGCTGTGGACGGAGCAGAAGCTTACAATGATCCCAGCCCAGTGAGGCGTCTCCCGGGCCAAGAGTGAGGGGCTGATGGCCAACATGAGGAAGGCCACGGCCGCGACAGCCACCCCCAACAGGAGCTGCAGCAGGGCGACGAGCAGAGGGAAACGACACACTCTGCACTTATGACCGTCCTCTGGCGCCGGGCCGTCCCTCGTCTTCTTGCTCTCCTTCTTGTCTTTGGAGCCTTTCTGTCCCTGTCCCATTCTTCCTCCCGTCTTTCACTCTCTTCTCTCTGTTTCACTCCAGCACTTTTTTTCTCCCACTTTCTGGTACACTCTTTGGAGTGGGTGAGTCTAACTGCTGGCTGCCTCCCCCCAAACACCTCCCTTCCCCTCCCTGCCTGCTTTTTACCAAAGCCAGCTCAGCTGCTATTTGAACACAGAGGCGGCTCTGAACTAATATGGAAAGCATTTGGACAGGATTCCTGCAGCAGCTCCAGTGCCACATATAGAGCAAGCAACAGAGGAGAGGAGGAAGAGGAGGGACAGGAGGCGGCAAGACACAAAAAAAGGGGGGTTCTAACATACGACACAGTCATACTTCTCCTGTACACACAAAGAGAAACCACAGCAGGTTAATGAGAAGCTAAGAGAGGAGGTCACACTTGGTTAGGGAGCAGGAGTGACTGGATCACACTTTGTCAGCACTGTTACACAAGAGAGCCATATGCTGCCTGCCAGGAGAGGTCACATGATTTACAGGAAGGAGTAGTGTGATCTTGAGGCATGTGAGGACATTAACACAGGCATTTTGGATCATGTAAAGAGGAGCAGGTGTCAGTGGCTTAATAAATAAATAAAACTTCCAGAAGTCAACAATTCAACTTCTGCTTTTACGTATTCTAATCAAATGTTCTTGATTGAACAAATGGAATGACTAGTGGGGATGAACGTTGGAGTATTTATAGATGAGTGTCGCTCATGTTGAGATTAATGAAGAAGCGCGACGCACGTGTTTGCGCACACAGCTGGGCCGGTGCCATGGTTACAGAAAACGCAGCTGGCTCCTGAGCAGGTTTCCGAGCCCCACAGCGACTTCCAGTAACCGGCGCCACATTAACGTGTTTGCTAAAGAATTAGGTGAGAAGGTTGTTTTGATTTATTTTGGCTTCACCCTTGTGTGTCAGACGGTTTAGTGATTTGTGCCATGGTGAAACAGCCAGACCCCAGAATCAGGAAGGTAACACTGGAACTGGCAGCGCCCACTCAGTCTGTGAGAAGAGGTATGAGTTTATGTTCACACTGCAGGCAAAAAAATGAGTTGGGTAAAAATATCGACTCCAAATTCAAAAAATCCTCTGAATCGATTCGATCCCCTGGTAAAATTGTCATGTTTTTATGTTTACTCCATATTTAGAACAAGTTTGATTGTAATARTGCTTTTTTCAGTTATTTTGTTTCTGTTTGGGCAAGAAAATAAATATCTAAAAGTAATCTACAGGGACTCTAACAAATTACTTTTTTAAATGAAATTGATATTGAAGCATGTAAAGCGATATCAAATCAAATTGAGTATTGAGTGAGTATTACATCATATTAGGTCATAAATATGACCTTTTCTGTTTTCTGCTTTGTCCATTGTGTACTAAAATACTTCATAAATCAAAACACATCCATGCTAAAGTGATATATATATA